GAAGCCTTTCTGTAGCTCGAGTCAAGTTGCTTTTGGGAAATAATGATCTAGTTTGCTTTCCATGGAGACAAGTATCACAAACATCGTCCTGTTCAGCTGGTAGAGGGAGATTCTTGACTAAACCAGCAGATGCCATATGCAAACCCAAACCATATGACGGACTCAGAGTTGTTAACATTTGCCAATTAAAAATTGCACTGCTTGGAAAATGATGGTGGCGTTATGGGGTGGAGGACAAAGCATTCTGGAGACATTTACTTCTTGAGAAATATAGGATTGGCAAATCCCCTTGGCTCCCATCGACTTCACAGAGCGGGAGAATGTCAACGACGTGGAAATGCATCATCAGCCGTTCACCCGTTGAAGGTGTTCAAAATCGTGTGAGATTCGAAGCATGCCAATGGATTGTGGGCAATGGCTCAAATGTTCCTTTTTGGGTTTGACCAATGGTTATTAATGGGTCCATTACTGAGCAATACTCTTTTGAGACTTTTCTCCATATGCGTCAACAAGGAAGCTAAAGTCTGTAACCTTTGGAATCGAGGCTCATTGAGTATTCCATTTCGTCGGACCCTCTTCCCTTCACGTACCACAGCTCAACTCATTAAAGGTGTCTTGAAGTGTCGGTATGTGAGAGAGCATTGCTGGGAAAGGACCCCCACTGGATAGCGTAAGACAAGTGCAGGGTGCCAACAGGGGCGCACAGCACAGACCCCTAGGCGAGCCAGCTCGACAGGGTGCCAGCAGGAGCGCACAGAATAGGCCCCTAGGCGAGACAGCCCGACAGAGTCAGGTAGACTGCGCGCACAGCACAGAACAGGCCCCTAGGCGAGACAACCCGCACGGCATGCAAATGCGCGGCATGCAGGTACGCGGCATGCAGGTACGCGTCACGCAGGTACGCGGCACGCAGATGCGTGGCACGCAGAATGACTCGGCAGACGGCGGCAAGCACGCAGGCCTGCACAGCTCCCAGACAGACTGCCTATGCGGGGCCTCTGCGCACCAACCCTCCAGCTCCCAGGCACACAGCCTGTGTGCGGCCTAGACCAGCTAGGAAGCCCAAGAGGGTGTCGGCCCACCAGACCCATGTATTGAGCTGCTGAAAATTTCAGCTTTCCTTCCAAATGAGCTTCTAGAAACTTTAGCTTTCCCTCCCAAATGTTTTGGAGGGAAAACTTTTGGAGGGAAATGTGTGGGGAACCTTGGCTATAAATAACCCCATGCTCCTTGTGTAAATCATCCCATTGAATACACTTCAATTCAATTCATTCAAAACAAGCTTAGCTTCTCTTTGCTAGCATTCTCTTCTCTTGTCTTCCTTTCTCTTTTATGCAAGCTTGCTTACCGGCTTAAAGCCATTGTGTGGGTGTTGGGTGCTTACTGGGTAAGTGCTGAAGCACTAAGGCTGACTTGGGTTCTAGTACCGAGATAAGGGTTGAACCCAAGGTCGCACAGAGGGTGGTCTAAAGAATCGCCCCGTGACACCTTGACTTACTTGCACGGTGATCCTCCTGTTGGATAAAGACGACAGACTTGTTTGGAAATATGATCCTAGGGGAACTTTCTCTATCAAATCATATAACTCACTAGTTGCCTCCAGTTCCAGGGAACAACATGTGTGGTTTTCATCCGTATGGAAAATCTCCATCTCTCCCAAGGTCCAATGTTTTCTTTAGTTGCCATCTTGGACTCTGTTCCAACGAAATCTTTTCTTATCAAACGAAGAATCCACTTTAATAAGGGGTAATCAAAATGTGTTTGGTATGGCACCGAAGAGTAATCTTGCTCGCACATTTTGTTAAATTGTCAATTTAGTTGGACGGTGTGGTGTTATGTACTTAATTGGTGGCAATTATTCATGGATGGCCCCTTGCTCCTTAGCCTCACACATCCAGAGTTGGTCGTAATGTTTTCACTGCGCACGACCTTGAAACGTTGGACGGTTGCCTATGGTGCAACCAATGATTTCTACAGTTGGCAAGAAATGAATCGGTCTTTAACAAGAAAGGTTGGAATGGTGAGGCTTTCTGGTTGCTTGCATGTGATGGCATGGATTTGGTTGATGAAATTGGGTGATGGATTGAGTCCTAGAAAGTAGGGGTTCACCGCACTCTTCTCCACCAACAGTTGGATGTGCAATGGTACCCAGTACCGAAGGGAGATTTGAAATTTAATGTTGATAAATTCTCTAAAAGAAAATCAAGAGCATCAAGATGTTTTAAGGAGTACTTAAAGACACTAATGGCACGTTTGGTTGGGAGAATGGCTTAGTCATTCTCTTTCTATTTTTCAAAAGTTCAATTTTTATTTGATTTGTTTTTTATTTAAAATAGTTATTCTTCAAAACCTAACAAAATCCTAAAATAGCTATTACATCTCCTTATGACATTAGCTATTCCACACCTATGAGAATAAAGTTTAAAAAGAATTTTAGATTAAAATGTCTTTGCTTTCAAAAATTATAAATTTATACCTACAAAATTAATATTTTAAGTTTAAAAATAAAAATTATTAATATTTTAATCATTATAATATTTTTAAAATACATAAGAGCTGGATGATCCAATTTGTGTCCCAAAGTATAAGGATCATATATATCATTCTAAGCAAGGAACACAATTCTTTAAGAGGATTTATCAATCTTGTGATGCCTAGAGGACAACTTTGAGCCAAATTGGTCAAGAAATTTGCACATTGATTCCCCTCACGACATATATGTTTAATTTCTATAACCCATTCCTTTTGAATCAACGAAATACAATTTTGAATCAAAAGGTCATAAGGATGAGAAGATCCAACCCCTCTAGTAAAAAATTGAACAACAACTAACACATCAATTTCCAAGACTAATGGACTAATTTGTAAACTCCTTACTAATAGTAGATTCTCCCGGATGCCCTACAATTCAGCTGTTAAACTATCGGTACTTTCAATATTGAGAATATCAGAATAGATAGGTTTTTGACATAAACTATTCGTAACCACAAATTAGGACGTCTATACACAATCATCTATAAATTTAATCTGTAACATACAATTAAGCCGCAACCAACTCTCCAAATCATAATTGATAAAATTATGCATAATTATTAAATTATTAAAATTTTAAAGTTTTAATGAAAATAAAAATTAAATGATTAAAAAAGAAAATGTTACTTAATTTTGTTGGCTCAAAGAGTATTTTTGTTTTTGATGAAAATAAATCTTGTTATAATAAAGAGTTTAAGAATTGAATTATATATTTAAAAAATTAGTGTTTTAAATTTAAAAATAATTGAAAATATTAATATTTTAATCATAATAATATTTAAATTATAAATAAAATATTAATATTTTAAATGTTAATGAATAAATTATAAATAAAATATTAATATTTTAAATTATTACTATTTAAAATAAATAATTAATATTTAAAAATAAAATAGATAGTCATATATTATAATAAAAAATATTACTATCTTTTTATCACTTATTCTTTTATTATTATAAAATTATTTTTACCAACCAAACATTGTAATAAGTTATAATAGCAATTCTCACCTTATATTTTTATGTCAACTAAACTATATAATAACATTTTCATTATATTCTTATTGTATTCTATGTTCACAAAATATCTATTTTATTCTATTCCACAAAGCAAATGTAATTTAAAAAATTTATAGTGCGATATTCTTTGGAAAAGATTCTAACTTAGTCGAAATGTGGTAATTAAGCATGCTTTGCATTTTTTATGTTTCCCTTGTCCCTTTTGCAACTACAAAGAAACTTCACATCTAATAGGACTCCAAGGTAGCCCTCTCCTGGGTCCTCCGGGGATGTCACTTTCCAGTATACCATGAGAGAAGGGAATTCATTTGCTGATTATCTAGCAAAATATAGTGTGGATAAAAACGCTATGTTCTCTGCATGGTGGTAGCCTACTTCTTGACTAGGTTCTGGTTTTCTGCATGACACTGTCTGGATAGGATTATGGCTGCTGCACACTTGGACTCTGTTAAATGTGGAGGTTTTATTTTTGCTACGCCTGCTATATGCTGCCTGTTTACTGTTGATAGCTTCTGTTATGTGCCTGCTGCTTGTTCTGTTTACCCTCAATTAGCTTGGAATGCTGCTGCTAAGACTGGAGCTACCAGCTCTATATCAGAGGAAATAGGCATAACAGCAAAGGGAGGCCTTTTATTCCTAATTGATAGATATGGTGTTATATATAGGGGCAGTATTATTGGTTGTATGTTTTCTGCTGATTTTGGGTTTACCGTCACTGTTTTATGTATTCAAATCTTGTACGGCTACTACGCTAGTCGTATATGGTGTTATAGTGTCTGATGTTTTTATGAGCAGACCAATTCTGCAACTGCTCTCTCTTTACTTCCTAGATCTATCCCGGCATATATCCTTATTGTATGATTAATAAAATCCTCATTTTGATTGAACAAAAAAAATATATATATTATATATTTATATAAATTTAAGTTTAATACACATAATACCAATAGAATATTAAGATATTAATATAAAAGTGTTTTTAAATTAGTTTAGTGATAAAAATGTAAATTTTTTAGGCTTGAGCTTGGCCTAGAAAAGGTTTCACCTACAATTCTTCTAGATTGATACCAATAATACCTATTTATGGCTTTCCCACCGTCCATGCTCCATAGTCCTTCCATAACCACTGCCATTCCCAGTGAATCAATGTATCTGCTTTTGTTAGAACTTCCCTTTGCACAGGTTAAGGTTGTGAATGGTGTCAAGGCCAACACATTGCCAAAACATAAAAGCTAGAGAAAAGGGCTTTAGAATCAAAGCACATCAACATTAGGTCGTCTCACAAATTTTTGTTTAATTACCTTGGAACAGACAATCTCAACGATGACAAACTTAGACTACCAAGTTTGCAATCTATCACCAGAAGACCAATTGATACTTCTGACACAGCATTTATTCTCTCAGCACCAAGTAGAGACTCATTGTGATTTTAAAACACATCCCCAAGGTGTTACATTAAGTCCATTACTCATCATGAAGAATGCATCAATATGATAGCATGCCCTCATTCAGGTTTCCATGAAGACAAGGGAGGAGTTTCAGATTCAAGGTAGGTAGCGGCAGTTTCACCATATCTGTCTCCCTTCACGGCATCTGCTGAAGCAATGGATTCTAGCTCAAACATCTCTTCAGGTGTTAATTTCAGGGACAAAGCTCCTATGTTCTTTACTTTACCTTATAGTCGAAGCAGAAGCCTCCGATAACCCTATGTACTTTACTTTACCTTCTTCAACTAGTTTCTTAAGTTCTCCCATCTGGGTAAAAAATTAAAAATACACAAGGAAGTATTCATACAAAAGACCAAGATGCCTCATTCCTTAACTAGGTCATAACAAAGAAAAAAAGCAGGGGACAAAATTCAAAACAAAAACAAACCGTGACTTCAATGGGAACCCTGGTGTCGATCCGATGCTGATAATAAAGATCAACACAATCCACACCAAGACGCTTCAAGCTACCTTCACAGGCCGCCCTCACGTACGCAGGGTCACCACGGATTTGCCTTGCGCCTTCAGAATAGTTTATACCAAACTTGGTAGCCAATTCAACTCCGTCTCTGAAACCATGTTTCAGTGCCTTGCCAAGGAGGATTTCATTGGTATGGGGACCGTAAGTATCAGAGGTATCAAGAAAGGTTACCCCAGTTTTGATAGCATGGTGGATGAGAGCAATCGTGTCAGATTCAGGCTTCGGAGGACCATAGAAAGCTGACATGCTTATGCAGCCAAGGCCCTGAGCAGACACTTCCAGGCCTTGAGAACCCAACTTGATCCTCCCAACTTTTGCAGTCACCATGTTTCACTGGTGAGAATGAATAGCTAAGCTAGCTGAAGCGGTTCCACAGTCACAGGAGGTGTGTTGTTGATGAAGTTGCGGTTCAGTGTCAACTGTTAAAGTAGTACTTTATAGTAGGTGGTGACATTAAGATCAGGAAAACGTTGAAACCGCCAATTCCATGTGGATTCTGCAACAATGTTTTTCTTTTTTTAATTAATATTGATTTGTGTTCTTTTAGAAATTATGCGGAATATAAAAAGGGGAGAATTTGGGAAAATAGGGTAATGAATCTCCAATATGTTGAACTTTGCTGCCTCCATAAAAAGGTAAGGATTGTTTGGTAACTGTTTTTATGACAAAGCAAAATTTAATGATATATACTTTTACCAAAAAGGATATAAGGCAAGACCAATATAAAGATTAAAAATAAACCAACAATTAAAATATAATATAAAAAACATCTATCATCTTAATTTTTTATTATTTTCAATATATTTTTGCTTTTTGCTTTCAAAAAATAAAATGTACAATAAATGCAATAACCAAACAATAACATATTGCATTAAAACGATTGACAAACTTATAGGAGAATGGCTAAAAAGCAAGCACAATAATATTATATATATATATATATAATGTATTGAAACATTGCTTAATTACCTTAGAACAGACAATCTCAACCACGACAAACTTAGATAGCTACTACATACCAAGTTTGCAATCTATGATTATAATTCTGACGGAACATTTATTCTCAAAATACAAAGTCGAGAGACTCGTCAATCAACATGGTAGCGTAAGCCTCATTCAGGTTTCCATGAAGACAAGGGAGGAGTCTCAGAGTCATCGTAAGTAGAGATACCTTCACCATATCTATCTCCCTTCACGGAATCTGCTGAAGCAATGGATTCTAGCTCAGCCATCTCTTCAGCTGTTAATTTTACGGACAAAGCTCCAATGTTCTGATTGAAGTTTTCGATTTTGGTGGTACCGGGAATGGGACAGGCATCATTCCCTTGGTGATGGACCCAAGCCAACGCAAGCTGTGATGGGGTGCACCCCTTCTTCGCTGCTATCTCATTAACTCGCTCATACAGGCGTTTGTTATGCTCCAGATTTTCAGGTTGGAACCTTGGTTGTGACTGTCGCAATTCAATATTCATTTCAAATGATTGTGTCATAAAAGATAAAGACAATCAGCCACAGACCATCGTTTTCTACAACTAATAAAAGTTTGTCGATTCAAAATATTTAATCAATGGATCACAAGACACACTTGCATAACTCAAGGGAAAGGGGCATATTAGAGGCAAACTAGCTAGTACATAAAGGTCAAGTTAGCTGTTAGCCCTCTGTTATTAAGAAGAAGCTAATGAAGATTTACTACCCAACATGTTTTTGCATTTTGAAAATAAGATTTATTGAAAGAGAAGGGGAACAGGTTATGAACATACTAAAATTTGGATTCACCAACATGTAAATAAACCCAATTCACATGAAAGTCCACTAAATTAGAAAGAACAAGATTGCTGGCCTTGAGGCACTTATAGACTAAAATCGGGAGGTCTTTACGAAGTAGTCTAACAAAGAGGGAAATGTTGCTGTACAACTTAAACAATTAAGAAAATTTGGCTGTCAGATATAAAGGAATTCTTGTTACGTCTGTAGACTTTTAAACTTTCTTATGCAAGTATTGATGTGGATTTTCTCTGATTCACATATCATCATCAAAAATATCCATCATACCATAAAATTTTGATATACCTAAAAGTAACAAACAATTAGTATTTGTTATGAACGTCTATCCAATTGTGAAAAATAGCTACAAACCTTTCTGAAGTCATCATTGGACAAGTTTTCCACAATTTTAGGCCCTGATGAAAAGAATCCTCTCCCCAGAGGACTGTAAGCAACAATCCCAATTCCAAGTTCTCTAAGAAATTAAAAGAAATCAAATTAGAATAAGATTTCAAAATCACTAATTTTTAAAAAATTTGTCAGTCTTGTGGATAAGTAACCTGCAAGTAGGAATGATGTGGGCCTCAACATCTCTAGACCACAAAGACCACTCCAACTGTACAGCAGTTATTGGGTGAACAGCATGTGCCCTCCTAATTGTCGAAGCAGAAGCCTCGGATAGACCTATGTACTTTACCTTACCTTCTTCAACTAGCTTCTTAAGTTCACCCATCTGAGTACACAAAGAAAAGCAACAATCAATAAAACGATGAAGAATTCTCATGTCTTAACTAGATCATGACAAAGTAAAAAGCAGGGGACCGAAAGCCCAGACAAAAACAAACCGTGACTTCAATGGGAACTCTGGTATCAATCCGATGCTGATAGTAAAGATCAATACAATCCACATCAAGACGCTTCAAGCTACCTTCACAGGCCGCCCTCACGTAAGCAGGGTCACCACGGGTTTCGTTCTTCCCTTCAGTAAAGTCTAAACCGAACTTAGTAGCCAATTCAACTTTGTCCCTGAAACCATCTTTCAAGGCCTTGCCAAGGAGGATTTCATTGGTGTGGGGACCATAAACATCAGAGGTATCAAGAAGGGTAACCCCAGAGTTGATTGCATGGTGGATGAGAGCGATCATGTCAGTTTCAGGCTTCGGAGGGCCATAGAAAGCTGACATCCCCATGCAGCCCAGGCCTTGAGCTGACACTTCCAGGCCTTGAGATCCCAACTTGATCCTCCGAACTCTTGTAGTTGCCATGTTTTATTGGTGAGAGTGAATGGCTAGCTGAAGTTGCTGCAGACAGAGGTCAGTGTTGTGTTGAGGAAGTCACAGTTCAGTGTTATCTGTTAAAATAGTAAGCGGAAAGGGTGAGGAGTCCACAACACTATACTTTGCTCCCTGATTAAGAATATGGATTTGTTTGGTTCTTGTTTTTGTGACAATGGAAAAGGCAATGACAACAGGCAGATCAATAATGATCAATACTCCTGTTTATAGTCTTTCTTTTCAAGTGGCCCTTGTGGTGTGTGGCCTTTTGTGTAGAGATTTTTTGTAATTGTACAGTTCCTTTCTCACGCCAGTTTCTATGCCATCATAGTCATGGGCTAACAGGGCTAAAGACTTTCAATGGATCTAGTGGTGATGGGTGGATATAATTTTGCATTTTAAAAAAAATCAATAATGTATTTAAAAAATAATTAAAAATGAATAAATAATTAAAATATAATATTCATTTTGATATAATTATTTGATCTAAAGATTTATCCAATTTCTATAATTTTTAAATTTTATTCAATTTAATCTTTATATTCAAAATAGAAATAATTTAATTTTTTAATTTAAAAATTTATATCAATTTAGTCCTTTCTCCTATCATCGTCTAATTTTACCGTTTAATGATAACATCAGCATTGACATCACCATTTAAATGCTTGAATAATCTACTTAAAAATTTAAATTTGTTAATTTAGTCCCTCAACATCTCAATTTTATTTAATTTAATTCTTATATTTTATATTTTTATTTAATTTAATTCCTATGAAATAGCAAAAAAAATTTTTGAAAACTTTTTTAATTCACCCCATCATCGTATAGTGTCACGTCATCATCTCAATGTCACATTATCAATATGTGACATGTCAACGCTAATGTCATCTTTTAAAGTAAAATTAGATGCGGTTAGAAGAAAAAAATTAAATTAAAATAATTTTTAAAATTAAAAAATTAAATTATTTTAATTTTAAATACAAAGATTAATAAAACAAAATTAAAGAATACAGAAACTAAATAGATCTTATGATCATAATTATCTTGTGTAAAAATAAAATCATGTATGCAACTCCCGTTACACGTGTCTCATAAGCTTTTGCCTCCTTACCTTGGAGCGGACGATGTCAACTTGACAAACGTAGATACCTATAATCAAGTTTGCAATCTATCACTACAAGACCTAGGATACTGACAAATATAACACTTTATTTTCTGAATATAACACGATCTATCACATGATACCTATAATCAAGTTTGCGATCTATCAATGTGGTGAATGGAAGGCCCTCAATCGTCACGCAGGTTTCCGTGAAGACAAGGGAGGAGTTTCAGATTTGCGGTAGGTAGCAATACTTCTAATATATCTGCCTCCCTTCACGGCATGTGTTGAAGCGATGGGTTCTAGCTCTATCTCTTCACGTGTAAATTGCAAGGCGAAAGCTGCAATATTCCGATTAAAGTTTTCAATTTCTGTGGTTCTAGGAATGGGACAAACATCATTCCCTTGGTGATGGACACAGGCCAATGCAAGCTGCGATGGGTTGGCATTCCTTTCTTGCTGCTCTCTTACTAACTTGCTCATGGAGGCGTTTGCTATGCTCGAGATTTTCAGGTTGGAACTTTGGGTAGATACTGTGACAAATGAAAATTAATTCCAACGATTGTGTCATCAAACAAAGAGACAACCAGCAGCAAGGCATTCTTTTCTGCAAATGGAACTAATTAATTTGGAATTTCACGTTGTGAAATTTATGAATTAAGTCATAGTTTTCCTCATCGAAGAAATGTGGAATTAAAAAAGAAAAAAAGAGCCATCCATGCAAGTAGTTTCGGTCTGCTCTAGATGACCGGAGCTAAAGCGAAAGGGGGAGTGCTTTTCATCACTGTTCATCTGAAGATTGGTCTAGATACAGCCCCGCTCTATATATCTTGAAAGCTTTCTTATCCGATCCAGATTCAAGGTCTTTATAAATTGGTTGAAAGTCCTTTCAAAGATTGCTACATCACTTTATAAATTTCCTCACGTTAAGGTAAAGTGTTCCACTTGAGTGATGCAAATTGTGATCCTCATTTTGTCCCTTTCAAAATTTCTTTTAGTAATGATTTTAAATGGAGGCAAAATGTTCCCTAGATATTTTTTTTCAAAGGAAAATCCTATCTCATTAAGTAACTTTTGATCATCATTCACCGTAAATCTATTAATATCAAAAATAGACACTTGATTTCAAAATTTTAAACATCACTACTGAATTTTATAAAATTATTAAAATATCTATAAAATTAAAAAGTCAAAAAGTCAATTATTAAAGTAATTGTGGAACTTATATGTCTTCAACATTAAATTGTCGAAATTGCATTAAAAAACTAAATGCCAAATGGATCAAGCACTACTTTCTGCGCCTGGTAGATGCAGTCTTGTACCCACAATAACAAGGCTTGTTCCAAGGTGTACGCCAAGTCTTCCCATAGCTCCCAATATTTTCTAAAATTTTAAAATTTTATCTTTATAATAATTTTATAACATATTTTTTATTTTTTACATTAGTTTTATACTAATTTTATAATTTTTTCTTTTATTTTATAATTTTTATAACATATTATTATGTCATTTAAATTTGTATTTATCTTACATCTTATGAGAGAGTTGTTAGAGATAACAAATGACCTCTCAAAAACTTTACAACTTAAATCTCAAGACATATCAAATGTAATTTGTTTAATATCACATACTAAAAAACATTTTTAACAATTGGAAGAAAGATTAATGGGAACTTTACTTGTGTCAGTAACGAAGTTGTGTGAAAAATATAAAATTATGATTAATAACATGAAGCTAGATATAAATTAGGTAAAAATTATTTTTAAAAAAATTATATTATAATTGAACACTATTATTGAGTTGAGTTATTTCTTGCTGCTATTAACTCACTCCAAAGAATTAGATTCCAAATCTGGGGCAAATCTGGGCCCCACCATTGCCGGCTGCCGCTGACCAACGAGAAAGAGGGGGAGAAGAAGAGAAACAATTAAAAAAAAAAAAAGAGGGACAATAAAAAGTTAAAAGACAAAAGAAAGAAAAAGGATACCTTTTTATAGATATATTTTATAAAATTATAATTTAAAACAAATATTTTTTATTGCACCCTTTTTGAATGTAATATGACTTATGAAATTAAAAAAATATATAAAAAAAAACTCCTTTGGCTGAGCTATTAGGTACTTGTGTCACGTGACAAGAGTGTGGTCCCAAGGTGAAGAAGAAAATGGTGCCGCCGCCGTATCTGGACTCAGACATGTACAATTTGACCCTTTTTGTTTTTTTTAATTATCCAAGCACTAACGATAGGCCAGTCAATGGTGGCTTTCTAGATTGCAATCGTACAGTGTCACTTTCTACACATCGCGGAGCCGCCGTGGTCGGGCCTATGGTAGCTCTCAGGTCTAAATGCAATAACTTTCGCGTACAAAATAAATTATTCCACGATAATCTACGATGATTATTTGACTAATTCGTTTAACTAAAAATTGCATAATTTTGTTATTAGTTTAAGATCAACTTATGTTTAAATAATTAAAGGTGGATCCATCAAAGCGATCAACTCAAACCCTTTTTCAATTAATCTCGTATTTTATATACTAATTAGAGAGATACCAGCTATCCTAATCCGTGGGGGATGGTGATCAGTGGTGACTTCATTGCATTGCTGTCCCACAAATTAAAAATAGATTAATTGCGATGCTTATATATTAAATCTAATTATTACCGTTACCAAAGACCAAAAGAAGGAGACAAATTAATAGAGATTAATCTTTTTGTTTAAATGAGTGGGAAGAATTTAATAGGTGAGAAAGTCGCGAAATGGGTGATAGTCACCAAAGCAGATGGCAACATGTTGTCGGCCATGGCCGGCCAGGGAAAATCTTTGTGAACTCTTGTGGACAAGGTGCATGAACCAGTGGTGCTAAATGGGTTCTGCCCATGGGTGCTTTAGCTAATGAATCCATTCAAACAAAAAGATTTTGCAGACGTATAACTAAACAAGCTAGATTATGACATTAATAATTTAATAATTTTTTTATATTCATGACAATGGTTTATTCTATTGACTACACTAAATATTGTTTAATCCCCTCTTCAAGTTTTATCTTAAAGCGCAGCTGTTACAGTAAAGAATATATAGTTGGCTCAATTTTTTTTAAAATTTTATCTTAATCCTATACTCTGCATTATGCAAAACAATAATCAGGGTGAGTATATTAATGTCAATTTATAAGCCTAAAAGCTTATGCAAAGAGTAATGAATTAATCCAATGCATACATTCCCTTAAGAAGAGGTTGATCAGCTTGGTGGTTTAATAGTTAGTTGGTAATAATCATCATGCATGTTGCTTCATCATTTCACACATAATAATAATAATAATAATAATTACAAGGTTTTAACGTTTTGCAACTTTGCTTTTAGTTACGTACTTTGGTAGCTTTAGATCGAATATATTAGATTTTCCAAATAAGTTTGAAAGCAACTAACTAAACACATATTTACTTAAAAGTTAATTAGTGGTTTGCGAGACTCCCTAGTAAGCAGAAGACAAATAATTAAGGTGGTAATGGGATTCCTTTTATCTTGTTAATTTCGTTTTTATTTGTCCATTTCCCAGCAAAATCCATCGGTGGTTCCAAAGTCTTAAGTTCCTCATCAAGGTCTAAAGTCCAAGGAAAATTAGGATTAATTAATTGAAAACCTGTTGCTTAGGGTGTGGGGACGACAGGATCTAGATTGGTCCCATGGATACATACATAAATAAATAATAATGTTTAGTGAAGAAGGAAGCAACTAATTATTTGATCATTTTGGAATGCACAGTGAGTAATTACCTGGACGTCTTCGTTTTATCCTTTCCTATGCTCATATTTTCTTTAAGTCTTTGTCCAATGAAACCAAATATTAATTTGTTGGGGGAGAGATTCCTCGTATTATCAAAGAGAAGGAAGCATGTTTGAGATCGAAATACTTGAGAAAGACAGAAACTCTTTCTTTTTCTTAGCATGATCAAGTCAAAAACATATAGGAGAGTGTATTGGCTGGTTTAAGAGAAATCAAACGATGAAAAATTTAAACCGATCGGAATTGATCAGTTACAATAAAAAACGGGTCAATTAAAATTGACCTTAATTTCGATCGATTGAAATTTTAAGTGAGCTTAGACTTAAATGACTCAAAATTAGTATAAGTTAAAAATGTTATATTGGGCTTAGACTTAAAATTGTGTGAAATCTATATTTTTAATTAAAATCAAACTCATATAATTATGTTTAAATAATTAATCCAATTCATAAAATTTATTTTTAAGTATATAAGTAAACACTATATAATTTTTTAATAAAAAATAATAAACACCATACTATTGTTTGTTTATAGAAATGTAAAATCAATAATTTGTTTTTTTAAGAAACAATAAATATTATATATTAAATTGATTAAAAAATATAAAATAAAATAAATAAATGAAGAAAAAATTTTCATTAATTATACATAATATAATTTAATCATTTATGTAATGCAATTAATCTAAATTCAAGAAATACACTATAAATTAATCCCTCCAGGGTTTGAGGAGCGAGCTTCTGATAAGGGCTTGGTGTTGGAGGATCGGGCACCTCAACTACGGATATTGGCTCACTCCTCTGTTGGCGGTTTCTTAACTCACTATGGTTGGAGGTCAATTCTCGAGGCACTCAAGTTTGGTCGGCCTTTGATCTTGTTTTTCGGGGCAAGCTCGATTCTGGGGTTGAACGTTAGGTTGTTACGTGGCAAGAAGGTTCCCTCGTTTTTTTGATCGGTTCGGTTGGGGGGAGAGTACCCTCAGTGACCAAACCGCGGTGGTCCCAAGACCGTCGGTCACAACCGACACCAGCAACTACCATCGAATAACTAAGCCGGCGGTTGCTATTTGTAATCGGCTCTGGTCGGTTGCTCGATTGCGACCGACCGCTGCTCTGTCCTAGAAACATACAATCAAGTTGCCAGCCATCATCAGAAGACCAAGGATAGTTTTGATATAACACTTTATTTTCTGACAAACTTTTGCTTAATCACCTTGAAACAGACAGTCTGAACATGAGACACTTATACAGCTACAATCTATCACCACAAGACCCGTTGTGGTAAGACAGAATATTTATTCTCGGAATACAAAGTAGAGAGACTCGTGATTTTAAAACACAATCCAAGGTGTTACCTCATCATAAAAATTGTATTTTGCTTAGTTACCTAGGAACAGACAATCTGAACACGACACACTTCGATAGGTACAATCTATTACCACAAGACCCGTTGTACTTCTGACAAAGCACTGATTCTCAGAATACAAAGTAGAGAGACTTGTGATTTTAAAACACAATACAAGGTGTAACCTCTCATGAAGATTGTATCAATATGGTAGTACAAGCCTCATTCAGGTTTCCATGAAGACAAGGGAGGAGTCTCAGAGTCATTGTAAGTAGGGGCACCTTCATCATATCTATCTCCCTTCACGGCACCTGTGGAAGCAATGGATTCTAGCTCAGCCA